GTTTCTCTCACCTTTCTCTCATACTTCTTCCCTTAAGCAGGTCATAAAACCCTCATTCGAGAGGTGCCTCCTTATACTGGAGCAAAGGAACATCCTTATCTCTGAACTCACAGGGGCACAGAGAGGAATCTGGAAGATCCCCCCGTTTATCACCATTAGATCATACCCCTTTGTCCTCCAATCAGACTTCTCCATGGGTGTCCACTCTCTATCAGACTTAAGCATAAAAATACACAAGTTTATCTGTTTCTTTAGGCCTTTATTTCCTTATAGAGGTTCTCATGTAATTAATTGGCATGTAACTATCTCATGTAATTATCTAATTATACAGATAATTTTGTATGCCTTCTCTCTTGTTACTATAATTTGCTTTTCATTATAGGGGCTTCAGTCATGAACCTAGCGATGGGTGAGGGAGGATATTTCTATTCCTCTCCTACACATTTTAGACCTAGAAAAGAAATGACCTTGTAGATAAAGATGGCTAGCTTCAAATCCAGGAAGGCTACTGCAGAGAAGAGAGATTAGACTTTTCCAGTACAGCTTTCGGAGTACAGAAGTTGCAAATAATGAGATTGTTGCTTAATACAAGTAAGAAGTTTTGGATGATCACAGTTACCCCAAAATGGGATAACATGCCTCATTAGGTTGTGATTACAGCTGACATTAAAGCCATTTGAGAAGAAAACGACTTTTGGAATGGTACTGCCTTTCTTCTCCTGCCACAAACCTTTTGCAGCAGTTATGCTGCCCCTGTTCCCATCCTCCCTGGCAGGAGGCTGTGGCGATGGGACTGAGTTCTCACCCCGGGGTGTGAGCCCGACACTGGCAACTTCTGTGCCACTTGCCTTCCCCTCTCCCCTCTCTCACCCTATGGGCTGGAATGAGAAGTGGGCAGAGCCAGGGTCCTTTGCTTACACAGGCCGGAATGACATTTCTTTTGCAAGGCAAAGCAATGCGACAGGTATCAGGGTCACCTGCTGGCCTTGGGCCACCTGCCTGAGCACGTATGGCTCCGTAAGAGGGAAAGGGATCCATGTGTAGTCTCAGCTCCTACAGTTTTGGGTCTCTCTGTTAGACACTTAGCCTGTGTCCCAACCAATGCAAGTACTTCTTGGAGATGTTGTGCAGATTATTAAGGTATCATCTAAGAATTTATACATGATGATTTCTACAATATTTTAATTCTATGTCTTCCCCCTCACCCATCTTCTGTCCTTCAAAACCAGCCATCCTGACAGTTCCCCAACCATAGTCAAACATAAGCACCCCATTATTTCAGTCACTTCATTTCTTTTTAAGTCCCAAGGTTCAAAAAAGACAAGAACTTTCCATCTCCTGCTTCTCTTGTACCCCGACATCCAGTCTCTTCCTATGGCACATCCTCTTTTCCTTTAGAAAATATCCTCTGCAATGACACAGAACATTGAAGTTCTCTTTGTGGTTATCTAAATACTGGCTTTAAAAGGGTGATGCATTCTTTAGCCTGCAAGTGATCACATTCTCCTACACCTGTTGATGTTTCTTTAGGGGAAAATAACGCAAAAGGCCAAGCTTCACAAAAGTCAAAGGTTCCGATGATATAAATATGCTTTGGTTCCAAATGCAGCATGAATCAAGCATAGTTTTATATCAATCAATACACCCTGCTAGAAGAATATTCTGATCTGAATCAGAATGTGTCTCTCTAGGTAACATAAAGTAGGTGAGCTAATGAAACAACATCCTGGCCTCTGTGCCTGGGTATGATAAGAAAATGAGCATGACAGATGGTGCTGAATTCTGTTCCACGGACATGTAACTCTCAATCCAATTTCCATCTCTCCCCTCACGCTTTCCCTTTTATCCATAATGTCCTTATCTCTTACCTCCTAATTGTGCAAACTCCATAAATGCCTCTCAAGACTTGGTCTACAAGTTTCTTTCCCTTAATTCACGCTTTAAAATCTGTAGTATGTAATTCAGAACTGAATGAAGTTGCCAATTATAGTTTCATATTTCATCT